CAAAGGGGGGGGGGGGGGGGGGGTGATGACGCCGATTCAAGATTCATCGGGTCGAGGGAAATATCCGAGGTTCGCACATGGCTTACAACGTTTAACCTTTTAGACACCTTGGGGCAGTTGCATGCTGCATCTGGTGGCAGAGGAGGCATTCGAGTGGCGACACAAAGACTACCACGGGACTACTGCTGTTCAGATGAACCAATAAGCTAAATACTTGCTGTGTCTATACCTTGGGCAGGTTGACCCGCTTGTCGACGGCCAGGTCGACCGAGGTTACCTTGCCGTACGACCCGAAGATCTCCTGTGTTTTTCCGGGCAACAACAGCAGCAGTGGCGATAAAAAATAGCGCAGCGGACGGCACGATTAACGGCACAAGCGGGGTGGTTCACGGGTCGTTCGGCTGCGGCGTCATGGACCGATATCACGCTCGCACACATCTCACGAGACGTACATGACTAAATATAGATGGTGTCCACGAAGGGATAATGACACCATCAACGGGTCGTATCGTGTGCATGCGAACGACAACAGAACAAACTGCAAGCGTCAATCAACTACCGAGACACCACAATACATGATCCCAGCAACTGAGTGCACTTGAGTACTCGTGCATGTTACTAACGCATCTTACAACCGATCATGAGCTGCTCCGCACATTTCACTGAACGTGCGCTCGGAGATGTAAGCGGGTTCGACATCAAGGAACCCAGGTATGTTGAGGGTGTGGATTGCGGTGTGATACGCCACACACACACACACCACCACCATATGTCTGTACCAACCACCCTGCTCAAGACGTAGAACAAGTGTCATACATGGAAAAAAAAACCAGTCCTCTACGACATACCGACGCGGTACAACAGGGTCACCTTGAGGTGGTCCGCCTTAACGTTGCGGGTGAGGTTGGACACATGGAGCATGCTGGGAGGCGAAGGGCTGCGGCGCTTGGGCGACTGCTGACGCAAAACCACGAGAGAAAAACGGCGTCCCGGAAAGAACGAACGAACGTACGGCGCAAGAAACGAACACAGCGGCCAATACCACCAGTCAGAGCCCAGGAGAGACTTTCACAACGCTCGTGCGGGACGAATGTACGGTACGCGAAACACAGCAGCGGCCACCACGACCAGCCAGAGCCGAGAAAAGACTTTCGCAACTTCGATGAAGCACGTACTTGACGACTCCGTATGCACAGAGGAGATTGTGCGTCAGAATATAATCAAGATGGCAAGAGAAGACGACACATGTTCGGTCCATCCACGGATTCACTGCGTGGTTGGCAAGAGCGAGCGGCCCGGAACTCTGTCACCGAAAAAACATTTGAAGTTCATCATGTGCCCTTTATGGCCGGTGACGCCCTGGGGATAACCCAGCGGCAGAGGTCTCCCACACCGCGAGGAATTTGTGCAGCTCTTGGTGCTCGTGCCGCTGCTGCACCCCTGCCGCATGAACGAAACTACGGTTTTCATGAGGAAGGGGTGCAGTAGCGGTACGAGAATCGCGAGCTGCACAAGTTCCTCACGGCGTGGGAGACCTCTGCCGTTGGTCTATCCCTAGAGCCACCGCCGCGACTGCTCTCGTCAATGGTTGCCTCTGCAGATAGCGCCCCGACTAGAGAAGTGGGCGTTCTAGAACCTTATATGCTCAACATAGTATCGAACGTAAGGGTGTATAACCATACCTACCTTTGATTGAGAGCGGGACACGGAGCGAGACCCAGAGCGTCCACGAGGCTTAGCCGTGCCATCACCCTGCTCCGAAAGTTGCGACAGGGTCGCGATGCCAAGAGAGACAGACGCGGTAGGGTTGAGTTCGGGAGTGCTTCGTTAGAGGTGGCAAGAGACGGACCGATACTCAAAACAGGAGCGTTCAATCAGATGTGTCCGCAATGGGCACCTGGTACAATACACCAACACAGCACTCAACAATACGTGGATCATGTTGAAGAAGGGTTACATACGGCACGCGTGGGGCTTCGCGCCGAGCGAGGGCGTCCACAGTGGGGGTTGGGCGGGGGGAGGGGCACCGGCGGGGTGTACTCAAGCGTTGATACTACACGCTGAGGAAGAGGAGACAATCAAAACTCCACATTTCCACCAGAGTCGAACAGCTCTAACAACCCGAGATACGTTATATCTTTGTCTTTGGATGACCACAGTACCTTGGGTTTAGGCGGCCCGTTCTTGTTCCCGTCGGAGGCTTTGACCAATCACCATCCAAGCATCGAAGTTGTCCACCGACCGGAAGTGAGGGGTTCCGCAAACACAGAAAAAGCAAGAAAAAACAACATGGTCATTGAATGTATGCTAAATCTACTTGGATTGCTCCGCTGGTGTTCCCAATACCTGGCAAGCGCAGCGGTATGGTCAAGCTCCTAGACGGCGGCACACAACCGCAAACGAAGTTTAAGTTTCCTAGCTAAACGATCGTTGCATACCGAATAGCCACCGCGCACTCCATGGTCAGTCAAGCAGCGGCGGAACCTGGATGAGTTGATCTCCATCGCGAAGAACACTACGTAGAGAGCAGCAGTGGCACTGCGGCTTTTTGTTGGTCGCGCAATCTCCAGCTACAGCTGGGATCGTCGTCCCAAATTCCAAACACCTGCCGCGGAAGCGCATTTAACGCTAACCCTTTGGTCCTATGCGTACGTATCTTTACAGCAGTAGCCTTGAGCGAGCGCACACAGGCGGCACCGCCATGCGGTTCTCCGAAAGCAAACCCCTCCGAGCCATGCACACAAAATCTAACAAGCACCCCACCAAGCACACCAGGAACGCGGGGATAGACGGTCGGGCAATGAATGAAGAGGTTGTGGTCTTCTTCGTCGAGGCACTCACGTTTCCCTTTGGCGCTCGCGTTGGAGCTGCTGCTGGAGCTGCTGCTGCTGCTGCTCGAGCTCGAGCTCGAAGAGCTGCTGCTCGAGCTGCTGCTGGATCTCGAAGCCGATCTAGATCGCGATCGTGCCGGCATCGTTACTTCTGCCCAGCCGGACTCTCCACAAGCCCCGGATATTAGGAGAGAAGACAATCTAGAAGGTAGAGACCTTGCACCTCGGGTATCTGATCTCGTTGTTGTTGGTTGTGTGTTTGGTTTTGCGCGCGTCTCACGGACTGAGCGGCCCGCCATCGGCATATGTGGCCAAAGGGTACCATACAATTGTTCTTCTTCATGCGGCGCCCCTGCCAGCCCCGCCGGGAATTGACCTGCCCAGCACTGCTGTGCTGTTCTGCAAGTCACGTCCAGTGTCATCGTCAGGCTTGGCGTGACTTGCATCTGGTCGCAGGAGTTGCACGGACGAGCTGTTAGCCCCGCCTTCAGGTCGTGGAACCGCCAAAAGAGCATGTCATGGTTCCCGACACTGCCGCTGCTGGACGGGTTGCTTGCAGATGTTCTGGTCAAAGGCGCGGGCGGCGGGGTGGCGTTCTCCCTCGTCAACGCCGCCGACACCTGGCAGTGGTGGCACTACCCGGCGTGGCTGTCTGTCATACTGCTGGGTCTAGAGTTCGTTGCAGCGATGGTGCACGTCTTCGGCCGGGCGTCTAAGGCGGCGACCATCAGGCCTCGCGGGAAGCACCTCGACGAGTTTACGCCGCTGGACAGGCTGTTCGTCGCGTTCAACCGGTGCAGCACCGCCGTGTTCACCTACCACGCCGTCCAGTACCTCTGGTACGCGCCCTGGGGCGGGCGGGTCGCCTGGGGCGTCTCGGAGCTGGGGCTCGCCAGCGGGCTGGGGGCGCTCGTCGCGCAGTACGTCGTGTACGACCTCTTCTACACGGTGTTCCACAGGGTACTGCACCTCCGAGGCCTGTACAAGCACATCCACAAGCACCACCACCGGCAGAAGGCGCCCACGCGGGGCAACGCCGACGCCGTCAACGTGCACCCGCTCGAGTTCCTCGGCGGGGAGTACAACCACCTCTTGGCGCTGCACCTGGTCTCGAGGTACGTCGTGCCGGTGCACGTCGTGTCCGCGGGCGCTTTCATCGTCGCCGGTGGGTTCTTCGCGTCGCTGAATCACACGCGGTTTGATATCCGCATCCCGTTCCTGTACGAGGTAAGCTCGCATCATACATCCCGGCGGCTTGGGGTATACCGCACCGTGTGTATGTTGCAATTCGACCCGTCGGTCGAGGTTGGCTTGTACATCATCTTGCTCTTCCAGCACACCTTGATTTGATCACCTTGATTTGAAAGGAAACGCTGTTTGTTTTCAGGCAGTAGCAATCCCACCTCCCGCCCTTCCACCTCCCGAGCGGTGCCATCGTAAGGGTGAAGCTACTGCTGTTGTGTGCGGTTTCGGGCTACCGCGGCGGTGGACGCCGTTGAAATTATAGAAGTGCACCAGCAGAGCGACGAACCCAGCGCACACCACGCACACATAGCGGCGTGCATCCAGAGACAGGCGTGCGTGCGACGGGCGAGACAAGGAGGTGCTTGTCTGTGCGGCCCCCCGTTCACCGTATGTCCTTCAGATCGCTAAATTATGCAGCAAAAACATAACCGATCGCTCATGTCATTCAGATCACCATGGAGCAAACTTAGCCGATCGTCTATATCTTTCAGATGACCTCGGGCAAACCTACCCGATCGATCACGTATATCCTTCAGATCACCTCGGGGAAACATCAGCATTATTACCGATCGATCATCTACGTCTTTCAGGTCACCTCGGGCAAACATAACCGATCATCGATGTCCTTGCGATCAACTCGGGCAAACACACACAGATTCACGATGTCCTGATCAATCACAAGGGGCATTACCGCGCCGAAAGAGCTACATTTGTGTAAAAGTCTTTCGGCCGTGTGCGGACGCAAACACGCACATCGGGAAGAGGCACGCGTGCTGCATATATGCACCTGGCGACGAGCACATCACACGCCGAAGAGCGCAAGCAGACGCGTAGGCATAGCGTAGCGACAGACAGGTGCCACACTCAATCGTCTCCAGCCTACAACCGGATTTCCCGCAGAGTGAAAGCAAGCAGTCTACGGAGTATGCATTATTGCCCACACGCACCAGAAAATCGCGTTTTTCCATGCCACTTTGACCTTGGCACCCCCCCCCCCCCCCTCGTCAACGACCGACATGGTTTGCACCTTCCCGTGCCGCGTGTCGCTTATGAACATGTAGGTGCGATATCACGACATCCACCACTGGTACCCGGAATGCAACTACGGGCAGTACACCATGTTGTGGGACTGGGTGATGGGCAGTCTAAAGGCCTATCCCGCGGAGGAAGATCGCGGCGAGAGGAAGAGGAACCTTGGCGGCGGCGTAACGCCTCCGGCGAATGGCGCGCGCTCCGATAGTACGGCTGCGGAAAACAAGGAAAAGGCGGGGTAGCCAGATAGATCCCACCTGCCGTAGGTGGCATAAGATGTACCCCCCCCCCCCCCCCGGGCGAAATTTTAAGGGCCCATTTTTCCCCCGCCAAAAAAAAATGGGAACGGGGGGCCCGAAACCCTCTCCTCCAAAGTTTTTTTTCCAAAACCCGGGGTTTTTTTTTTACCTCCCCTTGGGGGGGTAATCCAGCTTTTAATATTCGGGGCCGGGGGGGGGGGATCTTGGGGCCTGGCCCCCGGGGGACCCCGGAAAACCTTTCGTGGGCGGAGAACCCCCCCTGCCCAAACAAAAAAAGAGAAAATGGGGCCACCCAAGTGTCCCGGGGGGAATTGCTTCCCG